TGCTGACGGCGCTTTGGGCCTTGATATGCTTCGATGGTTTGTTCTGAGGACGTGGTATGGTCCTTTACTTGTTCAGTCGGGTGTAGCCAAGAGTATATTTCGTCGTTGCTATTTTATTATCTGTTTATCCTTTGGCTCTTTCGATGTTGGAGGTATCAACGCTGGTGCCACATCGTGCACCGCGAACATCTCTTTCGCTGCATGTTGTTCTTCGTAGATGGTTTTTATTCCGTCCTTTGTTGGAAATTTCATCATTTGATGGAGGGTGGAAGGTACTGATCTCATGCAGTGTATCCATGGCCTTCCGAGCAAGGCTTTATACCTCATGTCTCTTTTGATGACATGAAACTTGGCATTTTGGGTTGTGCCAGCCACGTTGACCGGGAGGGTTATTTCCCCTTTTGTTGTTTCGCTCGCCATGTTGAATTCGTTGAGGACTCGAGAGGCGGGAACGATCTGGTCGAGCAGTCTGAGCTGCTCCACCACCCTCGACCTGATAATGTTGGCCGAGCTACCTGGATCCACAAGCACACGCTTAATTTGAAATGTATTTACAAGAAGAGAAATTACCAATGCGTCGATAAGGCTGAGATAGAGACTCAATATCTTCGTCACTGAATGTGAGGGCGTCCTCGGGTATGTAACCTCAATTTCGCTTCTCCCTGGTGATGGATATTTTTGTTCTCCTGACCATGGGTTCCTGTGGAGCATCGATGCCTCCAAAGATCATGTGGATGACATGTTGTGGTTCATCTGTTTCATTTTTCTTGGTCGCCTCTCTTTCCCGGAATTGATTTTTGGCTCGGCCGCTGAGGAATTCTCGGAGGTAACCTTTGTTGAGTAGTCGGGCTATTTCTTCCCGGAGCTGTCGGCAATCTTCGGTTCTGTGACCATGTGTGCCGTGAAATTCGCATATTAAGTTATGATTCCTTTGCGAAGAATCCGACTGTACAGTTCTTGGCCACCTGGTGTCTCTAATTGTACCGATGGCAGATATGATGTTTGAAATGTCGACGTTGAAGTTGTATTCCGACAAGCGGGGTGCCTCCGTCGGCCCTGTGTGCCTATCGGATCTGGCTCTGTTCACAAGTCCCCGAGGATTCTGACCTCGATCCATCTTTCGGTCATTTCGGGGTATGTTGCGCCTTGGGGCGTTTCTTCTATCTTCAGTGTATGGTTGGTATCTTTCTTTGTTTGGCCTTGGCTCATTTGCCGGAAGCCTACTAGGATATACCGAGCCCGAGGGGGCTCCTAGTTGGTCGTCCTTGACCCTGATCTTTGATTGGTATCGGTTGTGGACATCTGACCAAGTCACGGTGGGATATTTAATCAAGTTCTGCTTCAGCTGCTTCCAAGCTACCGAGCTTCGCTCGTTCAAGCCTTGAGTGAAGGCCTGCACTACCCAGTCATCGGAGACTAGTGGTAATTCCATTCGTTCCATTTGAAAGCGAGACACGCACTCCCGCAGCATCTCGTTCTCTCTTTGCTTAATTTTGAAGACTTCAGATTTCCTTGTAGCTACCTTGATGGTGCCAGCATGCGCCTTTATGAAGGAATCTGCCAGCATGGAAAATGAATCTATCGAGTTTGGGGCTAGGTTGTAATACCACATCATCGCCCCTTTCGAAAGCGTCTCTCCGAACTTCTTAAGTAGGACGGATTCAATCTCGTCGTCCTTTAGGTCATTGCCCTTCACGGCACAAGTGTAAGCAGTGACGTGCTCATTGGGGTTCGAGGTCCCGTTGTACTTCGGAAGATCGGTCATTCTAAACTTTTTCGGAATGGGTTTTGGAGTCGTATCCTGCGCGAACGACTTTTGTACGAACTTCTTTGAATCTACACCCTTCAGGATCGGGGGCGCACCCCGAATTTGATCGACCCTAGAGTTGTAGGTCTCTACCTTCTTGTCATTGGCTTCTATCTTCTTCTCGCCCGACTCGATCCTCTTTGTGAGGTCCTCGAGCATCTTTATGATGGCGGGGTCGGCTGCCGACCCGTTGTTGCTTGATCTTTCTGGTACCTGCCCGGCTTGGGGGGCCGTTTCCGTCGCTACTATGCTTGGAGTTTTCTGATGGCTTTGCAATTGAGCAATCACCAGCTGTTGTGCCTGTAACATCTCAAAGATGACGCGAAGGCTAACCCCTTGTTCCTCCTGAGCCGAGGTTTTTTGGGCTTCCTGTTGATTTTCCCGGTGTATGATCCTGTTGGTGTGGGAGCTTATCTCGACGTGTTGAGCGTTGCGCGAAATCACGTCCACGAGAATTGGTTCTGGTGCATCCTCAGGGTTTCGTGATGGTACACCAACACCTGGAACAGCTACACCATTTTCTCCATGGTCCTCAAGACCGTTGTTTTCATGTGCGTTCACTAAGTTAGACATTTTGACCTGAAATCAAAGATCTTGGACAAGAAAAAGTGTGAAAGATAACTTGCATTATGTAGTAAACCAGCAAGAAAACAATCACTATTATTTTTAGCCCCACGGTAGGCGCCAACTGTTTACCTTGAAAATGATAATTACAATTAGATTTAATTTTGTGGTTCTAAAAATATGTGATCTGTTTTCGTGCTAGTCGTTGGGCGATAGATGCTAAGTATGAGACTAGAAAATAAGATAAGAACTTGGAAATAATATGTTTAAGCAAACCGAGCGGCTGAGAATCGGGGCCTCGAGCCTGGCTATACAGGGCCTCGAGGTCGAGCACGATGCTGAGTTATGAATGGCCGATGAAGGGCTAACAATATTGAGAGCTTTGATGAAGGCTCTTTATGGTCAATAATGAGCAATGAATGAAGAACAATAAATAGAACACAATGAATATAAGCAATAAATGTAAGTAATGAGACCAGGAGAATATGTTTAAGTTAGAGAACAGAGAATGTTCTTGTATTGAATGTTGTGAATAATGTAGTCTATCGTCCCCCTTTAGAAAATGACAAGGATCCCCTTTATATAAGAATGAAAATCTCAACATAGTACATGAGTAATTATTACAAAGAAATATAGCTGGCACAGCTATTTACTAGTCTGGTACAGACTAACGTTTCTCTTGCAGGTGTTGTCAGTTCTGATCACGTGCCTTGGGAACTTCCTGCTCTCTCATGATAATCATCGATTTATACTGCCTCGAGATCGAACGTTAGGAACCTTCGGGGTCGAACCGCGAGCCATGCCTCGAGGTTTCGGGGACGCGCTCGGGAAGCGCTATGGTGGCCGTAAAATCGGGCCTTCTGATTTTTACCGTATACAAAAGTGTTAGTCTTACCTAGTCGTAGAGACTAGGTGCCGTCACGACAACTCACGGAGGGGAAAATTGGGTCATGGCAAAAGAGTGACATGCAATTGGAACGAAAAAAATTTATACACCTTTCGGTTATTACCTCAAATTTAAAACTACTAAACACGTGTCTCTTATATACATTTTAATCACTTGATAATAGTTAAGTGCTATATTTTTGCACTAATTTATAACTCTTAAGGTTAATTTCTTTAATTTGGTGCAATACTTATTATTAGTTGGTAGTCGAGATTTTGTGTATGCATTTTACCCAATGATGGGAAAATTTTCTTACCAATCGTGGGTGACTTCCTTCCTAGTTTTACTTATTTTGGTTTGATCCTCGAGGTACAATCTGTTAGGTTTTACACCAACTATAAATTGAGCAAAAAAATTTCGTTACATGAGTTGTCATTGATTGTACTAACCTTGAGCTGTATATAGATAAATGGTTAGGTTAATTCAAATAGGTATATGTTTTGGGGGAAGAAAATTGATGGTTATATTTTAAGAAACAAACAACCATTCAAACAACAGGATCTGTTTTTAATGATTTGTAGACCAACTCTTTAAATATCTACCATCAATTTGTTTTATGCCCTTTTGGGGTGCGATAGGTCATTTACGGCCAATAGAAGCTACAGGCTGGATATTTTATGCATTTGATTCGTTTTGATTTTATTCTTCTTTCAATTGCAATAAAAAAATGGGAAGCATTAGTTTTTATTTCAAAATTTTCAAAGAAAAGAAAAGTTAATTTCATATATTGACCAACTTAAGCTTTAGAAAAAATTATTCTAAACACTTTTATAATATGAAAATAAAACAATTAATTTCTAACATAATAAAAATTGAATACATATATAACACTTACTCTTCAAATGTTCAGTATCAATCAATTAAACCCTTGTATAGTGAGGGTTAAGTATTGGATTTTGAATTACAATGACTATCATCATAATTGAGTATTAAGTATATGTACTTAACTATATACCCTATTAATTTGGAAATAATTTATTCTAATTTTTAATTTACTATTAGGACAAACTTTATAGTCACACAAATTTTATAACATATTTTTGAAATAATAAGACTTAAAAATCTTATAAATACACAAGTTTTATGTTATATTTGACTCTAGAATTTTAATTTTTTTCTTAAACTTAATACCAAGTCAAATATGTTCCCGTATTGAACTAACAATTTGTTTGGATGGTTGTTACTTATTGTATTGTATCATATTGTTATTTTAAATGCAATATTTTTTGGATTTTTACTTGAGTTTTATTGTATCGCATCGTTAAATTCATTGTTACGTAATGACGAAAAGTGTCACTTTATGTAACGACCGATTTGGTGTGGACGCGTCGTTAGCTTATTGTTTTTCCTCTCATCTTGCCTTTCTATATTATTAAATAATTCTATTTTATTCTTTATCATATCTTTTTATATAACAATTATACCTATTACCACTTTTTCATTGTAATATTGCAAAATATTCATATTGTTAGTCCATGACATCATAAAACAACGACAAATAACACAATCTATCCAAAATATTATATACATCAAATGATAGAGTACAATAATACGATACAATATATTATGAGACGATATATAATAACCATCCAAGCTGTTAGGAATTAGGAATAATATTAATAAGAGGAAAATATTTATGTGCACAACATATATATTTTGAGGAAAATTCCAAACAAGTATAGTAACAACGTTGTATATTTGTGTTATATATATTATCCCAATATCCCATTGTATCTAGTCTGAGAAAGAGGGAAGATAGAGATAGCAGCAGCTTAAGCAAATAGCAATGGCAACTTTCATCAACACTCCCTTGACTTCACTCTGTTCCAATACCAACAAGTCTGAAGCTAATCTCTTCAGAATTTGCCCTATAAGGGCTCAGACTTTGGGGATTTCCAAGTTTAACCCCAACAGAAAGGTTACTTTCCCTTCTATTGTTTGCAAAGCGGTGTCTGTGCAACCAAAATCAGCCACTGAAGTTGAAGGACTTAACATCGCTGAAGATGTTACTCAGGTGAATTTATCATTTAATCCTCATTTGAGTTCATTTCGTATTCTTGAAATAATAAGGATTTGTACTCTGTTCCAATTTATGCGATAAAGACTTTTCGAACTTGTTGTTTAGCCATAAAAATTTCAGTAGTTGTAAATCATCTCATTATATTAAATAAAAAATGTGAAGTTTAAAGTTAAAACTTTTTCTGAATATAGAAATGTTTCATTTTTGTAGACAGACTAAAAAGGAAAATTGAATAACATAAATTGGGTATAAAGGGAGTAATGAATTTTCTTGTTTTTTCTTTTTAATTTCTTATCTGAGGATGTTTGACTGTTTGATGGATTGCCTCTGTTGGGGTTATTTTAATTGGGTTTCGTTTTTTGTCTTGAATTAGTGATTTTGGGTGTATTATCATTAGGGTAAGTTTCTTACTCTAAAAATGCATTTTGGTATGGTGAAAAATGCTATCCATGGAAAATATTTTACGCGTTTTGATTTTGCACTATTATACAGTGGTTCGGTATTGAAGTTGGTATGGTAACTGTACAGGGAGTAGTGCAGGATATAATGATAATGTTTTGATGAATTTGTTTGATATTTAAGTGACCACTAGCCCTCGGGGATTTCGCAGTTTAAAAAAAAAGTTTAATATAAAGGATAAGAATAATGTGTTGATTGAAGCAAGTGATATGGAGTAACACTTGAAATATTTGTATAAGAAATTATTTCGGCTCGTAAGTAAATGAAGTCATTTTTCCTTTTAGAAAACATTGCCACAATTCATTCAAACGCTGAAAGACGATATCGTCAAAGAAAATATTTTCCTGGTTTACAAGTTTCCAATTTTAAGCCCTTTTACTCTTTTCCATAAAGGGTCCGCGGAACTTTCTTTGTTGCACGTTTGGCTTTTTAAAGTTTGCCTGTTGTTTGGAATTGAGGTGTAGTTGCTATTATTATTGTAATAGATGGGTTACTTAACTTTAGAACCTTTAATATGTTTGCAAGTTGCAACTCTGAACCGTATGGAAGACATTTAGCACGAAAGATACATATACTTGTTGGTATTGCTTGCCCCTCTATTCTGATGCCTACTCTATTTGTTTCTGTTCTGCATATTGTTATGCTAATTTTGTATATCATTTGACAGCTTATTGGGAACACACCAATGGTTTACCTTAATACAATCGTTAAAGGTTGTGTTGCAAACATTGCTGCTAAACTTGAGATTATGGAGCCATGCTGCAGTGTCAAGGACAGGTGAGAGAGGTCTTTGTTTGTATCACAATATCCGGATTTCCTTCAACCTAGAATTTTGAACTGAAATATTCTTTAAATTAGCTGAGAGAATATCATATTGTATTGTCTTCATTCTTTTCTCTTAACTTTGAGTTCCAGAAGAGAATTTAACATCGTTCATGCTTTTTTCTGCTCTTGGGGTACATCTCTACAATTGCAAATCCTAATCTTAGACGAATGTACTTCTTGCAAACAAGCTAGTTCAGATAACCCAATATGCTCCAAAACAATCTCTAAAGCTCTTTCCTTACATAGTACTTTTGGTTTCAATACTGACTACATGGGCTTCACACAGCATAGCTGTTCCAAGAACGAATAGATGAGGGTTGCAGTAAGTTCTTGCCGATGTAAAAACAGTCTAATTGTGAGAAGAGGATTCATATGGCCAACCCAACTAATTTGAGATTGAGACATAGTTGTTTGATTGATTGATTAATATTTCTTTTGCATTTCAGGATAGGGTTCAGTATGATATCTGATGCTGAGGAAAAGGGACTTATATCTCCGGGGAAGGTAAGTTGGGCGATCAGCTAATTGTCTCTCTTGGTACAGACTTGACATATGCCACTCTGAATAAAAGGAATAAGTTCACCTAGGGTGGCAAACGGACAGGTCGGGTTGGATATGAGCGGGTAAAAATGGGTGATGCAAAAACGGATAAATTATCCGACCCGATCCATATTTGATCCGGATGGAAAATGGGTTAACCAACGGATAATATAGATAACTATATTATCCATGGCTTTTTGAATATGATCACTTTTAGGAGAACTCCTAGTCTTCCAAACTTGAGGAACCCCTAATTTGAGTCATTAAAAATGTAAAAGTTAAACCAATTAGTTATCCATTGATTATCCATTTTCTAAGTGGATAGTATTCATATTATCCATGTTTGACCCATTTTTGAAAAGTTCATTATCCAACCTATTTTTAGTGGATAAAATTGATGTGTAACTGTTTTTTATCCGTTTTGACACCAATAAGTCCACCCTGTAATGTTCAAACATTTAGAAGTTTCTTGATTTGATATATTTTGGATGTTCTGTTGGGTCAAAGGCTATTATGCATCTATTATACGCTCAGCCTCTTGTGTTATTATGACGTGGAACCGTAGGAACATCACCTGTGTCATCCTATACCTGATATGAGTGTAACTGAATGTCATCTTCTTTTAAATGACTGGAGTTCTTACAGATTGCCCCGTTTTTTAGCATTGTTTCTTAATTATTTTTTCTACTTGTCTTAGACTGTTCTAGTGGAGCCTACGAGTGGAAACACAGGCATTGGGCTTGCCTTCATTGCTGCTTCCAGAGGATACAAGCTCATCTTAACGATGCCTGCTTCAATGAGTCTTGAAAGAAGGGTTCTTTTGAAAGCTTTTGGAGCTGAACTTGTTTTAACTGACCCAGCCAAAGGGATGAAAGGAGCTGTTTCAAAGGCTGAAGAAATATTGAATAACACACCAGATGCCTATATCCTTCAACAATTTGACAATCCCGCAAATCCCAAGGTTCTTCTCCCAATATACCAACGACTCTTTATTTTTATTATGTCAATCTATAAATGCTTAGCATCTGAGATTAAATGGCTCTGGCTCTACAATTTGCCCTAATCAATTTAAAGTACCCATGGCGATATTGGTAATTTCTCCTTTGTTCTGAACTTAAACATTCTTCCTAGTTATGTGTGTGTGTATGTGTCTTTATGATTTTATACCTATTAACGATAATACCTACCTACCCCCACTCCCCTCTTCTTTTCCCGTGAAATGGACACTATTGTTGACTTACACATTGGGAAGTTTATTTGTTTGTATGGTGCAGATACACTATGAAACAACGGGCCCAGAGATCTGGGAAGATACAAAAGGCAAGATAGACATACTAGTTGCAGGCATTGGAACTGGCGGAACCATTTCAGGAGCAGGGCGATTCCTTAAAGAGCAAAATCCAAACATTAAGGTATTAATGCTGTTTTGAAAGAAAAAAAGCACTATTCCGTTAGAGTTGCTCTGGAGATTTCTATTAATAAGTAATCTTACTCTTTTCTCTATTGCTTTGTGTTACCTTTATCAGATTATTGGCGTGGAGCCCACAGAAAGTAATGTACTATCAGGGGGAAAGCCTGGTAAGATGACATTCAGATGCTGATCTGATTTTTGCTTTTGAAGTTACCTGTCTTGTTCTATTTGCTGCAATGTGAAAATGCAGGCCCTCACAAAATTCAAGGGATTGGAGCAGGTTTTATTCCAGGGAACTTAGATCAAGATGTCATGGATGAAGTGATAGAGGTCTCATTCTTATCTATCCCATTAAAGCTTTTTATTTCATCTTCTTTATACTTGTGAAAATTGAAAACTATGAAGGATTTCATGTGTCGTACATAGCCGTTTCTAAGATATAATAGACTAAGAAGTGTTGCCATCTCAAAGTCGGTGTACCTATAAATATAATTTATGTGAACCTATATTTCTCTGTTGTGTAGTGCAGTTATTACCATTTTGACGTACTCTTATCTTTTACTAAATGAAACCTCTTTTTTCTGGCTTCTAGAGGGCAAAAATTGTTGCCACTTACTGAATTTGTGAAATCTGCCTTCTCTTCCAACACTATTGTCCTGTTTCCCTTTTAGGTTATACTAAAACTTTCTTTGAATCAAAGTTGAATGGAGTTGATCATCAAATTTCACTTCACTCATTGAGAAAACATTGGTGTGTAGACTAAGCTTTACAGGGCAGGATCTTGAAGGTTATTCTGCTTGGCAGAAACGGCATTTCTAACTACTCTTTTTCCATCTGGTAAAATGGGATGCAAAATCTATGGCCTGCTTCACCAAGACATCAACTAATTGGAACACATTTAGAAGGTCAAACAGTTCCTTCAGCTTTATTTGCCTGAGAACTGCCTTTCCACAATTAATGTAGCCATAGTTCATTCATTTAGCACTGTTTCACTCAATGCTACTCTACTCGAACATTTCTAGTCCTTATTTAATCTCCTATCGAAATTGTAGGGGTTATTGTATACCCCAATTTTCTTCATCAAATAAATGCATCTGCATTACTTACCTTGTAAAGTTCTGTTAGAGAACAAGTTACCCCGATTATCAGTTATATAATTTTGCGCACAAGCCTTGCTATTGAATTTAGAATTGTTCCTTGTAGGTCCCTGTTTCTTAGTCTTGTTCTTTATAGCTCTTAAACAATGAGCATTGGTGCTAATGTTAGCTGTTATGCATCCTTAGTTATAGGTTAATTACTTCTGTTACTAGTAGACGTGCAGAGTTTAAATCTTGATGACGTATTAGCACCCAAGGGTGTGGCCTAGTGGTCAATAAAGTGGGTTGGGAACCATGAATTCTTAGGTTCAAAACCCAACAGAGGCGAAAACATGAGGTGATTTCTTCTCATCTATTCAAGCCTTGGTGGACAGAATTACCCGGTACCTCTGCTGGTGGGAGATAGCAGGTACCTATGGAATTTGTCGAGGTGCGCAAAAGCTGCCGGACACCATGGTTATCCAAAAAATAAATCTCTGTATGCTTGTGATACAATCCAGGCCCCACAGAACAAAAAGAAAAAGAAAGAAAAAAGATATATGTTATCTTCCTGAGGGTTTACACCTTGAATTTTCAGATATCGAGTGACGAAGCTGTTGAAACTGCGAAGCAATTAGCGCTACAAGAAGGGTTATTGGTTAGTGCCTTTTTTTCCCACCATTCTATGTATCAACTGATTCTTGAGACATGGCTTTAAGCGAACATAAATTTCAAATGCCCTTTAATTCATCCTTTTTCTAAATTGTTTGATGCATTATAAAGAACTTATTAATGGTCTAATTGCAATTTCTCATACTCCATTTTTGATCTATATATACTTAATATCATTAAGTATTAAAAACTTACGGACCCTGTGTGAATGCCGGATGCTTTGTGCACCGGGCTGCCCTTTATATACTTAATATAATTCTATGAACCATGCTGGATGATCTCCGAATTGGAATGCATTAGGTTTCAGTTCCTATGATCCAGAATGTGTCTGGTATTTACTTTACTGTATACTGTCATCTTGAGCTACTTGAATGATCTTTTTCTACTTTTGATAATCAGGTTGGAATTTCTTCCGGAGCTGCTGCTCTTGCTGCCATTCAGGTTGGGAAGAGACCTGAGAATGAAGGAAAGCTTATTGCGGTAGGTTCAATCGTAACTTCCTGCATTTTTCTGACACGTGTGTATTCCCATGCTCCTTAATTTCCATTCTCTTCCAACTCATCAAACTTTAGTGTTCATTTTTCCCTGTACTTCTTACGAAGTAAGTCATCTTTCCCTGCATTTTCCCTGAGGTTTACGGATTTAGGGGTGTTTGGATTGGCTTATTTTATGTGCTTATTGGCTTTTAATCACTTTTCTTTGGCAATGATAATAATACATTACATTTAGGCATGAAAAGTACAAAAATAAGCCAAAAGCCAAAAGCCAAAAGTTGGGCATTACCGACTTATGGCTTTTGGCTTTTAGCTTATAAGCTACTTTTTAAAAGCCAATCCAAACACCCTCTTAATAGCTCTGCATTGTTAAAAAATTCCTTTGAGTTCATTGCATGACACATTGTCGCGTGAATATCATACACTTGTTTAAGATGCATTTTAACAATTCTTGTAGGTTGTATTTCCAAGCTTTGGGGAACGATACCTCTCCACTATACTTTTCCAGTCTATACGGGAGGAATGCGAGAAAATGCAACCAGAATCGTGAATATCTTCCTTTTTTGCGCTATGTTCTGATTCCAAATAATGCTATCTGGTGCTCATTCAGATTATCCATCTCCCATTTTCCCCCGCCTTTTCTAGCTGCCACACTTTTGTGATTTAGCTGGCTGCTGGTGTATACAGTAGATCAGGTACTAAAGTGGTTCTCATAACAAGCTTAAACAATCTCATTGGTTTGGTTTGAGGATTTTTTATTTGAGCTGCTCAAGAAATTTTAGTGAAATTTCAGTGTTGTATGCCGTCTTTCAATTGCATTTTTCGTTTTTCCTTTGTTTTCTATTTGTGAGATGAAGGTGCACTTTTGCACGTTTCTTGTTCTTCTATCTGAGAAGTTTTCTTCCTTGTGCTACCTGGAAATTGAAATCCTTAAGAAAACGTTATTCAGATCCTGGCAACTGTAACGTCAGGTTGTTGATAAAGCTGTATATAGGCCAACTTTTGCAGTCAAGTTATAAATTTCGCTTTAGGGGAGTAGAACTATATACCTTTTTCTGTCTATTTTTGGACATTGATTCTTCTATTATAAGGAACTCAGGAAGTACATAAAGCGGCCTATAGATAACAGATATTAGAAATAAAAAAAATGCTACAAAATATTTCAAAGACAGAATAGCTGAAGTGTTTTGCTGTAAGTAATTATTTCTGTTTTTTTTTTGGGCTGGTGAAGCCCAAGATTTCCACGAAGGGAAAAGATTTAAATTTGTCCTTTGTACTTTACAAAAGGCCGAATGCATAAGAAGAAAGTAAGCAACGCAGTGGAGAAAGCAGCAGCAAGACAAAGGAAGAGGTAAGCAATGCAGCGGAGAAAGGGAGCTGAAGTTCTTTAAGAAGTGGGTACAAGTTAAAAGTTTAAAAAAAAATGGGTATAGGTAAAATGGGGGCGATCAAATATGACGCCTTGTGCAATTTCTACCATCTAAACTTGGCACCGCTTCTTGGGTGATTTTTAAAAATAGCCAGATTTACAACTGGTCGTTCAAAAATAGCACAATTTCAAAAGTTATCGAAATTTAGCCACTTTTTATGTAAAGATAAATCTGAGCGAAAATACTGTTCAAAACCCGGAAAATACTCCAGTATATTATGCTGGAGTTCCAGCATAAGTATACTTGAACTCCAGCATATTATACTGGAGTTCCAGGATAGTATGCTGGAACTCCAGCATAATATGATAGAGTTCCAGCATAAATACACTAGAACTCCAGCATAATATACTGGAGTTCCAGCAAGTATAATGGTTCAGTATAATATACTGGAGTTTGGAGCACCAGTGCTCTAGTCTCCAGTATATTATACTGGAGCCAGCAAAGTATACCAGTCCAGCATAATATGCTGGAGTTCATACACAAGTGCACCGAACTCCAGTATATTATGCTGGACCGGTCTCTATTGCAGCAAAACGGTGGCTATTTTTTATTGACTTGATAAACGCTGACTATTTTTGATTCACCAGTCCGAAAACTGGCTATACCGTAAAATTTTGGCCCGCTTCTTTGACACTTAAATTTAGGCTCGTTCGTGTTAGGCATTTGAATTTCCTCCCAAGTGTGCCTATTAAATAGAAAGGTGACAACTCAAGTGCGTGAATACTACTCTCTGTCGACCTGTCAGATAAGGCGAATAAGACAAAAACAAGTCAGCAAAGGGAAAAAAGGTAAAAAATTGAAGGAAAAAGCTCCAATCTCTCTCACACAAGTCACAACTCACAACCACACCCCTTGCCGGCCAAATCCTCCTACACCGTCCGCCACCGCACCCGGCCCCGATCTTCTCCATAGACCCATCTACAATAAAGAACAACTAGGGGTGTACATTTGATTTATCAATTCTATTTTGACCTTTATCGATAATTACTTATCGATTATCGATTTGTACATATGCTTATCGTTATCGTTTCAATAAGGTTTCGATTTTTTCGATTTCGATTTATCGATTTTTGGGGCTTCTCGATTCGGTTATAGATTACACCAATAAGAAAATTTGGGGGATTCCACGGAAAGTATATCGCTATAAACACGCCTAACTAATATGGACAAAAAGAAGCTAAAATAAGACGAACACATTTATAACATAAAAATTGTGTCAACAAGCACATGCAACGAAACTAAAATAAGAGATCAAATGTTTGCCACCAACACTCCAACGGTATAAAAAAAAAAAAATACATCATCACATCTAATTTTGTTTTCCACTAATTTGAACTTCATTCCCTTGAGCTTTAAATATGATCATTCCTTAAATATGGTAGAGGAAATAATAGGGTTAGGGACTTAGGGTAAAGGAAAGGGTATTATAGATAAGGGTAAAAAAAATAATTATTTTTTTTAGTATATCTTATCGGTTTATCGATAAACCGATAACCGAAGAGGACAAAATCGAAATCGAAATCGATAACTCGATAAGGAAAATTTCGAAATCGAAATCGAAATTGATAAATCGATAAACTGACATCGATAAACCGATAACAAATAATCGATTCGATTTATCGATAAACCGATTCGAATGCACACCCCTATGAACAACGACAACTCATGGATATGCTATTAACAATCTAAAGATATGAAGGAAACAACATATCTTTTCATATTGCTTGGAAGAAATCTGGAGGTGATTCCCAAGCACTTTAACGCCACTAGAAATTCTAGTTCTCTGTATTTTGCTCTTTAAGTTTTTCTATATTATTGGATTTTCTTTAGCTTTGTTACGTATTCATATTGAAAAATGTTGCAATGTTTGGTTTTAACTTTATTGATATAGTTATTGGTTATATTCTATAGTTTTATAAAGTTTTGATTTTTAGCATTTGCCTGAAAAATAAATGTTGGTTCTGTGTATGGTAGCAATTAACTGAAGATGATGGAACGGGAAGGGGAGGAGAAAGAGAAAGACCATTTTTAAAAAAAAAAAAGGTATATATGGCACTTCATGCTCGCAAAGGAGATGAGTTACACTCATTGTGACATGTCAGCACCTTTGTGTTTAACAGGCACACTTGGAAGGAAGTTCAAGTGCCTAATAGGAACGAGTGTAAATTTAAGCGTCGAAGTGAAAAGCGGTGCCAAGTTTAGGTGCCTGCTTATATATTTGGGATGGAGAAAATCAACAACAACAACTACCTAGTGAAATCCCACAAGTGGGATTTGGGAAAGTAGTGAGTATGCGGGTCTTACCTCTATCCCGAGGGAGTAGAGAGGCAATTTCCGAAAGGCTCTCAGCTCAAAAAGACGAAAAGAGACAATACATCAGTATCATCAACAAAAACCTTATAAATCATAACAACGACATAAGAACCAGAAAATAGATGAAAAGCAACACAATAACAAGTAAATAAGTCCAGGAACTATGGAAAACGGAAGAATAGTGTGAACACAACATTAACCACTAACAGTCTAAGACGAAAATCTATCAGACTAGCCTCACACCCGTACGAAGTAAAAAAATGTTCAACTACCTCCTAACCTACAACCCTAATGCTTGACCTCCACACCTTCCTATCAAGGGTCATGTCCTTGAAATTATGAAGCCACACTATGTCCTCTGCCCGATCACCTCTCCCCAATACTTCTTAGGTCGCCCTCTACCTCTTCTCGTACTCGCCAACCGCTCAAGCCTCCTTACTGGGGCATCTACGCTTCTCTTCCGCACGAGCCCGAACCATCTGAGTCTCGCTTCTCGCATCTTGTCATCCATAGTAGCCACACCCACCTTCTCCCGAATATCTACATTCCTAATCTTATCCATCCTAGTGTGCCTGCACATTCACCTCAACATCCTCATTTCTACTACTTTCATCTTCTGGATATGTGAGTTCTTAACTGGCCAACACTTTGCCCCATACGGCATGGCTGGTCTAACTAGCGCTCTATAAAACTTACCTTTGAGCATCAATGGCTTTTTTTTTGTCACACAGGACTCCAGATGCTAACTTCCATTTCATCCACCCAACCCCTATACGGTATGCTACATCCTCGTCGATCTCCCCACCTCCTAGATAACCGACCCTAGGTACTTGAAACTGCCTCTCTTGGGGATGACTTGTGATTTAAGCCTCACCTCCATGCCCGCTTTCCTCGACTCGGCGTTGAACTTGCACTCCAGGTTTCCTCTTAGTCCTGCTTAACTTGAAACCTTTAGACTCAAGGCCCTGTCTCCAAACCTCCAGCCTCTTGTTAATACCGCCTCGTGTCTCATCAATCAGAACTATGTCGTCAGCGAATAACATACACCATGGCACCCCTCCCCTTGAATATGGTGTGTCGGTGATCACCAGGGCAAACAAGAACGAGCTGAGCGCAGATCCTTGGTGAAACTCCATAACAACCGAAAAATACTGAGAGTCGCCTCTTACTGTCCTAAATCGAGTCTTAGCTCCATCAAACATGTCGTTAATCGCCCTAATGTAAGCGAGTGTCACACCTTTTGCCTCTAGGAATCTCCAAAGAACCTCCCTAGACACCTTGTCATACGCTTTCTCCAGGTCAATAAACACCATGTGCAGATCCTTCTTCTTATCCTTGTACTGTTACACCAACCTCCTAATAAGGTGGATAGCTTCCGTAGTTGAATGACCCAGCATGAACCCGAACTAGTTATCAGATATAGACATCTTCCTCCTCGCCCTCACTTCCACCATCCTTTCCTAAACTTTTATAGTATGACTTAGTAACTTGATACCCCTATAGTTATTACGACTCTGGAGATCACCTTTGTTCTTGTACAATGGTACTACCGTACTCCACCTCCACTCGTCTGACATCCTCTTCATCTTGAAAATCACATTAAACAGCACAGTCAGCCACTCCAAGCCTGCTCTACCCATACACCTTCAAAATTCTACAAGAATTTCGTCTGACCCGGTTGCTCTGCCCCTACTCATCTTATGCTTAGCCCCCACGACCTGCTCAACCTTAATGCGTCTACAATACCTAAAATCTCGGTGACTCTCTAAATGGCCCAATTCACCTAACACAATATCCCTGTCCCCCTCTTCATTCAGAAGTTTGTGGAAGTAAGTCTGTCATCTCCACTTAATCTGAGCCTCTCCCATCAATACTCTACCGTCCTCGTCTCTGATGCACCTTACTTGGTCCAGATCCCGAGCCTTCCTCTCTCTCTCTCTCGCCTTGGCCAGCCGGAATAACTTCTTATCCTCACCTTTGTCACCTAGTTCCTCGTACAGACAACCAAACACTGCATTCTTAGCCTTTATGACCACCAACTTCGCCTCCTTCCTAGCTACCTTATACCTCTCTCTGTTCACTCTACTCTCCTCCTCTCTTGTGCTCCCTACTAAACATTGTGTTCAAAG